GCCGTTCTTCCCCCCCTAACTGGTACATTTCCCCCCCGCGCGACTTTCCCCCTCACTATCACTATCATCATCATCATCATTATCATCATCATCATCATCATCACTATCATCACCATCATCATCATCATCATTATCATCACCATCATCACTATCATCATCATCATCATCGATAACCTACTCGTGCAACCCTACCTACCACGCTATCACCCGATCAATCGTAGAAAGGATCGCTTCGCCCTCGATTTACATCAAAACTAATTTATTCCTTTATTTATTTTATTGACATTTCAAATTCATGTAAATACTTAATTCATTTCAAATTCATGTAAATATTTAATTCACCATCTTTCTCGACATTTCTTTTTCAAAAATATTTTCTTTTTCAAAATTTCTTTTTGAAATACGTTGGAAATAAGAAGTTAATTTTTCAAATATTCTCGAAATACTTCCTCCCTGAAAATTCTTTACAATTTAAAGCTTCCCTTTTTTGAAATTTCACGATCGAAATTATTTTTATTTTTTTTAATTATTTCGCTTTGAAATTACCTTTGTACTATTTTCGAAAATACGTCGCAAATAATTCGTTAGTTGCACAAAATCTTTTCGAAATACTTTAGAATTAAATCACCTTTTTTTCACAAATTTCTTTTAAAATCTTTTTCGTTTGAAATTTTCCTTTTGAACCTCCCTTTTGCATTAACTAATTTGTTCTTTTTCAAAATTTTGAATTTTAAAATACTTTTGAACTCTTTACTTTTTTTCGAAATTTCTTTGAAACATCTTGAAATTAAGTATTCTTTTTTTTTTTAATTTTTTTTTTTTTTTTGAAATTTCTTGAATACTTTAGCATTAATTCATCTCTTTTTGGAATACCCTTAATTTCTTTCCAAATTCCTTGGAATCCTTTTGCAACTCGTAATTAGCCCTTTTTTGAAATTTTGAAATCACATTTTGAACTTTGAAATTATGTACTTATTTTTACGAAACTATTTCGAAATTTATTTTCTCTACCGACATTTCGTTAAATTCACGTTCGGAATTAATCCCTTCCTTCGGAATTAATTATTATTTTTCCAAAATTTCAATGAAAATTTTTAAAATTCCACCTCCTAATTATTTTTTTATAATTCGAAGATATTCCGAAACTTCATGTAAATAAAATTTGAAATAAATTCAAATTTATTTTCTACAAATATTTTGAACAACGAATTTTGTAAATCTCTCCTTCGGATCCTTCGAAATTTTGTTCTACCCAAATTATTTTCGAATAAATAAAATTCCAATCAGAATAAATTTATTTATTCAATATTAATTCCCTACTTTTAAAAAAAAATAATAATAAAAAAAAAAATATTGGCAATTATCTTTATTCTTGAATTTATTGATAAATAAATAAGGGATTGCCCCCCCCACCTCCACATGCCACCACGCCAAACCAAGAACTCCCAACGTGCCGCCGTCGATGCCGCCGCCACCGCTGCTGCTGCATCCTCCACACCCGTTCAAGCCACGTCCTCCACCCCCTCTTCCCCCGACATGGCCGCATCTTCCATCAACATGTCTAACATCCACACCGACTCAGTCGATAGCATCGCCCGCAACCTCACAGGCGAACAACCACCAGCAAACACCGCCATCCCCGACCTCTCTGCCGTCCTCCACGCACTCAACACCCTCCGAACCTCCGTCACTGCCTCTCTCGACGACATGAAGGCCAACATCTCGTCCATATGCGACCGTGCCACCATGATCGAAGGGACCATCCCTTCCATCACGGTCGTCACCACAGCGCAAACCACTCCATCCTCCACAACGCAAACCACTCCCTCCTCCACAGCCGCCTCCAGCAACACCCCCCCGCCGACCTCCTCCACTCCTACCACCTCTACCACCACATCCACCAACCCTTCAACCTCCACCACTGTTCCGTTCCCTCCACCTCCCCTCATCTGGCGCATCCAGCACACCGCCTCATTCCTCGCCCATCCACGTCACCCCTCTTCCCCCCCGCACTCCCAAACCCTCTCCCAACCCATCATGACCACCTCCACCATCCCCACCATCCGTCCCACCTATTCCCAAGTCACCTCCGGGGTTTACCCCGCAACCAAATCGACCACACCTGCTACGACACCACCCCCGATAACCTCAACTTCAACACCCTCGCGCAGATCGTTCACTGCGACGGGGAAATCCCCCGTTCCTTCCGATCTGGCGAAATCATGTCCTTCTTTGGCCTCCCCCACGAGGACGTTTTCCTCTTCCTAACCCAACTTCAGAACTCTTTTCACCTCCACCACATGCCCCTTGCCCACTGGCTCCCCATTGCCACCTCCCGCCTCCTCGGCAATGCAGCCAAATGGTGGATGGCTGAAGTTAGCAACAGCCGAGCCTCCGGAGGACCACGTCATGCCTTCCTCCAATGGATCAACCTTCTCACTGCCACCTTCCTTGACGACTACCTTGAACAATTATGCCACCTCCGCCAGACCGGTCCCACGAACCGCTTCGTCGAATACGTCCGGTCCCTCCGCCACCACCTCCCCACACCGTCATTCCCGACTTTGCGTTCATCTCCCGCTTCAAACGAGTATGCCACAAAGACCTTGCAACCGGCCTCGCCCACGAACCCGACATGCCCCTTGTTGACCTCCTCTCTCACATGCTTCACCACGATCGACTCCTCCACCCCCACCACCAGCACCCGCCCAACACCTCCCGCACCCGCTTTTTCCACCACATCACCCCCGAAGACACCACCTCCATCACTTCCTCGGACGAGTTCACCACACCTGACCCCGACGCATCTTCCGATTCACTCGATTCTTCATCCCTCACTTCCGAGGAACTCGATGTCGTCCAATTCATGAGAATGGAACGTAGAGATCGCAGCTCCCGACGACCCTCATCTACCTCACCCTCCCGCCTGAAGAAACTCACCCCCGAGGAGCGCACCTACCTCCAAGCAAAAAGGGGTTGCTTCCGTTGTCGCCAATTGGGGCACCAACAAACCAACTGCCCCAATGCCGCACGATTCACCCGCCAGTCCGCCTCCACTCGACACAGTCCCAGGGCACTGACCCGGCATCGACATCGCGTCTTTCGGCCCACCCGTCAGTGACGTCCTCCGTCCCACCGATGGCCCATCTGGCATCGACAATTCATATGCCTCCCCCCTCTCCGGTGACGCTTCCTCCACCGGATGACTCCCAGGCCTCGCAAACACCTCCCATTGCCTCATGCTCCTCTACCCTTCCTCCAAATGCATCCACTATCACCTTCTCCGATGTTGTTGAGAAACAAGCCCGACACGATCGGCTTGTCCGCTTAGGCAACGAACAACGTCGCCTCAACACCATCATCTCCACCGCCAACTCATCTCGTTTCCACCTCAAATTCATCGCTGCCACCCTTGGTGCATCTACAACTAAGTCCCGGGCCATCCTCGACATTGGAGCCACCGGTAGCTGCATCACCGACGCGTGTGTCAGCAAAGTCGGTCTTACCTCGACTGGTTATGACTCCCCGATCACGATTCGCCTAGGGGACAAAGACACCGTCGTCGTTGTAGACCGCACGGTTCCCGAGACCACCATGACCGTTGTAGGGGCCGCACCCTTAAGGACTTTCGAGCCTAAGTCGACCCCGCTGCGGGTCCCATTTGGCCCGACCGGCCCACGCTCACGCTCAGGGCGCGGGTCGTTCGTCCCAGGGACATCCCCACCTAGTGCAATGAGATGGATGGGGGTGGGCCGTTTGCGAGAGGGCTTTACATAGGGGGATGTAGCTCCACTCTCGCGTCAAGATGGTAGCTCATTGGTCACTCGCGGCGTTTTCCTTGATTCAATTAAGTATGTCCAGGCAATCGCTCTTTCCAATACTCAGGCAGTCCAGGGAGTTCATTGAGAGTTTGTCTTCTTACCTTTTCACTAGGTCTAGTGGCTCAGGACAGCCCCGACAGCATCCTTGGGGTAAGGCGGCGTCGCCCGGACCCCTAGCCGCTATATTTTTTTTGGGAGAGCCACTAGCATCACATCCACCTATCCAAGGCAGCCCTTAGTCCTTCCAGGCTTGCGTTGCATTCACGAGAGAGCCATTGCATTCAACCATCACGCAACCACATCCAGGCGTCTACCATTCGTCCAAGCATCCGACCATCCGACCATACAACCCATCCCACATCCACAGCTTGCAAGGTCCAAGTCCTTCCCTTAGCCAATTCTCCCATCCTAGTCCTCAACCGTGGATCCAGCCTGGCCAAATCGTCCCAGGCTACTCACCTGCGCAAGACCACACAAGACAAATGACAAAGTACAATCCCCATTGGGGTCAACACATCGCCCCTCCCCGCAGTCCTAAGTTGCCTTTGCCTTCCAATTGCTCTTATGAGTTCCCTTCCCTTTCCCACAGGTAGGCCAAGCGATCACCTCAATCGTGCATTCCGGGAGGATGGCTGAGTCAAAACTGACCTTGTCGCAAAAGTAGCACTCCTTTTCTCTTTCACAATTGTTCTCAATAGTCTCGTATCCTTTCCGTCTTGGTGGCATAAGGGACCGGCAGCCCTTCCCTTGCCCTCGCTTTCCACCAAGTGAGGACCGAGTTCCTTTCCGTTCGTTCCCTGGCAATGTAACAGGTGAGGGTAGAGGTTAGTCACATGCCATGGAGGGAGAGGGGTGATGGAAGGGTTAGGGGTTAAAGAGTTTTGAAGGAATGAAGGAAGACGGAGGGAGAGGGGGAGGAAAAGAGAGAAAGAGAGAGAGAGAGAGACAAGAAGCTTCACATCTTAATCGACCTTGCTCATTGACTTACCCTAACCGATCCTGCCCGAGGTCCCGTGCATTGCCCTTGCGACCCCCTAAGACTTTCGGGTGGACGGGTGTGGGTGATGGAGGAGGAAGAAGGGTTGGGGGTGGTTGGCTATGGTGGAAGGGTGTGGGTGATGGAGGAAGAAAAAGGGTAGGTGGTCGGCTACGGTGGGCGGGTGTGGGTGAAGGAGGAGGAAGAAGGGTTGGGGAGGTCCGGCTATGGAGGATGGACGTGGGTGATGGAGGAGGGAGAAGGGTAGAGTGTGGTCGGCTATGGTGGACGAGTGCGGGTGATGGAGGAGGAAGAAGGGTTGGGGGTGGTTGGCTATGGTGGACGGGCGTGGGTGATGGAGGAGGAAGAAGGGTTGAGGGTGGCCGGCTATGGTGGACGGGTGTGGGTGATGGAGGAAGAAGGAGGGTTGAAGGTGGTCGGCTATGGTGGACGGGTGTGAGTGATGGAGGACGAAGAAGGGTTGGGGTGGTCCAGCTATGGTGGACGGGTGTGGGTGACGGACGAGGAAGAAGGGTTGGGGAGGTCCGGCTATGGAGGATGGACGTGGATGATGGAGGAGGAAGGAGGGTCGGAGATGGTTGGCCATGGCGGACGGGTGTGAGCGGAGGAGGAAGAAGAAGGGTTGGGGTGCTCCAACAATGGTGGACGGGTGTGGGTGACGGAGGGGGAAGGAGGGTTGAAGGTGGTTGGCTATGGCGGACGGGTGTGGATGACGGAGGAGGAAGGAGGGTTCGAGGTGGTCGGCTATGGTGGACGGGCGTGGGTGAGGGAGGAGGAAGAAGGGTTGGGGAGGTCCGGCTATGGAGGATGAACGTGGATGATGGAGGAGGAAGGAGGGTCGGAGGTGGTCAGCTATGGTGGACGGGTGTGGGTGACGGGGGAGGAAGAAGGGTTGGAGGTGGTCGGCTATGGTGGACGACCGTGGGTGAGGGAGGAGGAAGAAGGGTTGGGGAGGTCCGGCTATGGAGGATGAACGTGGATGATGGAGGAGGAAGGAGGGTTGGAGGTGGTCGGCTATGGTGGACGGGTGTGGGTGATGGAGGAGGAAGAAGGGTTGGAGGTGGTCGGCTATGGTGGACGGGTGTGGGTGACGGGGGAGGAAGAAGGGTTGGAGGTGGTCGGCTATGGTGGACGGGTGTGGGTGATGGAGGACGAAGAAGGGTTGGGGTGGTTCGGCTATGGTGGACGGGTGTGGGTGACGGAGGAGGAAGAAGGGTTGGGGAGGTCCGACTACGGAAGATGGACGTGGATGATGGAGGAGGAAGGAGGGTTGTGGATGGTTGGCTATGGCGGACGGGTGTGGTGAAGGAGGAAGAAGAAGGGTTGGGGTGGTCCGGCTATGGTGGACGGGTGTGGGTGACGGAGGAGGAAGAAGGGTTGGGGAGGTCCGGTTATGGAGGATGGACGTGGATGATGGAGGAGGAAGGAGGGTCGGCGATGGTCGGCTATGGCGGACGGGTGTGAGTGAAGGAAGAAGAAGGGTTGGGGTGGTTCGGCTATGGTGGACGGGTGTGGGTGATGGAGGAGGAAGAAGGGTAGAGGTGGTCCGGCTATGGCGGATGGACGTGGGTGATGAGGGAGGGAGGAGGGTCGGAGATGCTCCGGCTATGGAGGATGGACGTGAAAGAAGGCCCGTTGGACGTATCCTAACTCCTAGCCCCGTGCCTCAGTTTTCTACTTCAGGTGTCTGGCTGCCCCATATCACTTTTCGGAAGTCACCGGTCACAGCAAAAATGGGGAAGGGACTGAACTGCAGCCCACACAAACACACACACACACACACATACACCGATTGTCACCGGGCACAGCCAGGGGTAAAGGCGGACTGCACAAGTTACCGGGGACTGCAACATTCACACGCACACACACCGAATGTCACTAGGTACAGCAGGGGGTAAAGGTGGACTGCACAAGTCACCGGGAACTGCAGCATTCACACGTACACACACCGAGTGTCACTGGGTACAGCAGGGGGTAAAGGCGGACTGCACAAGCTACCGGGGACTGCACCACTCACACATACACACACCGAATGTCACTGGGTACAAAAGGGGGTAAAGGTGGACTGCACAAGCTACCGGGCACTACAGCACTCACACATACACACACCGAACGTTGCTGGGTACAGCAGGGGGTAAAGGTGGACTGCACAAGTCACCGGGAACTGCAGCATTGGCACGTACACACACCGAGTGTCACTGGGTACAGCAGGGGGTAAAGGCGGACTGCACAAGCTACCGGGGACTGCAGCACTCACACATACACACACCGTTATAGCCTAACAACAAGATTAAAGCAATCTGCCTACAGGAACGTTCGCCGAGGCATCCCAAGGTAATTCGCAACTTACTCATGCATCAAGATTAGTGAAAGCACAAGTTTGAGAGCATCTAACCCATCGGAAAGTTCACCGAAGCCTCCCAAGGTAATTCGCAACTTAGACATGCATCATAATCAGTGAAGGCACAAGTTTGAGAGCATCTAACCCAGCGGAAGGTTCATCGGAGCATCCCAAGGTAATTCGCAACTTAGACATGCATCAAAATTAGTGAAAGCACAAGTTTTGAGAGCATCTAACCCAGCGGAAGGTTCACCGAACTATCACAAGGTGAATCGCAACTTACCCAAGCCCCTAAATCAGTGACAACTCAAGATTTGAAGCAATCTATGAAGGGGAAACATCACCGAACTATCACAAGGTGAATTGCAACTTACCCAAGCCCCCAAATCAATGAAAACACAAGCTTTTAAGCAATCTAAGAAGGGGGAACATCACCGAACTATCACAAGGTGAATTGCAACTTACCCAAGCCCCCAAATCAGTGAAAACACAAGTTTTGAAGCAATCTATGAAGGGGAAACATCACCGAACTATCGCAAGGTGAATCGCAACTTACCCAAGCACCTAAATCAGTGAAAACTCAAGATTTGAAGCATCAAGACAAGGGGAAACATCACCAAACTATCACAAGGTGAATCGGAACTTACCCAAGCCCCCAAATCAGTGAAAACACAAGATTTGAAGCATCAACACAAGGGGAAACATCACCGAACTACCACAAGGTGAATTGCAACTTACCCAAGCCCCCAAATCAGTGAAAACTCAAGATTTGAAGCATCAACACAAGGGGAAACATCACCGAACTATCACAAGGTGAATCGGAACTTACCCAAACACCCAAATCAGTGAAAACTTAAGATTTGAAGCAATCTATGAAGGGGAAACATCACCGAATTATCACAAGGTGAATCACAACTTACCCAAGCACCCAAATCAGTGAAAACACAAGATTTGAAGCATCAACACAAGGGGAAACATCACCGAAGTATCACAAGGTGAATCGCAACTTACCCAAGCACCCAAATCAGTGAAAACTCAAGATTTGAAGCATCAACACAAGGGGAAACATCACCGCACTATCACAAGGTGAATCGCAACTTACCCAAGCACCCAAATCAGTGAAAACTCAAGATTTGAAGCATCAACACAAGGGGAAACATCACCAAACTATCATAAGATGAATCGCAACTTACCCAAGCACCCAAATCAGTGAAGACTCAAGATTTGAAGCATCAACACAAGGGGAAACATCACCGAACTATCACAAGGTGAATCACAACTTACCCAAGCACCCAAATCAATGAAAACTCGAGATTTGAAGCATCAACACAAGTGGAAACATCACCGAACCATCACAAGGTGAATCGCAACTTACCCAAGCACCCAAATCAGTGAAAACTCAAGATTTGAAGCAATCTAGGAAGGGGAAACATCACCGAACTATCACAAGGTGAATCGCCACTTACCCAAGCACCCAAATCAGTGAAAACACAAGATTTGAAGCATCAACACAAGGGGAAACATCACCGAACTATCACAAGGTGAATCGCAACTTACCCAAGCATCCAAATCAGTGAAAACGCAAGATTTGAAGCATCAACACAAGGGCAAACATCACCGAACTATCACAAGGTGAATCGCAACATACCCAAGCACCCAAATAAGTGAAAATCGCAGTTTTGACAAGAGGAGGAGGGGGAGAAGGGGGGAGAAAAGGAAAGGAAGAAGGAGAGGAAGAAGAAGAAGAAGAAGAAGAAGAAGAAGAAGAAGCAGAAGCAGAAGAAGAAGAAGGAGGAGGCCTCCCTCCTCTTTCACTCACCTCTTGCTGGTCTCTAGGCAGTGGAGTCCCAATGCTTGGTTCTAGCCTCCTGGGTATGGCTTTTCCTCTCTCCCAAGCTCTCTCCTCCTTCCCTCACACCTCTCCTTTAGCTATGGCAGGTCCCTACTTCTAAAGCTGTGGAGTCCTTCCCTCTAGAAGGGCTATGGGGACCCCTTTCAGCCTCTCCTCCTACTTCACAGCCTGAGGGCTATGGCGGACCACTCTCCTTGCTCCCTCCTAGCCTCTAGGTCACCTTTCTTAGCCCTACCACCATAGCCAGGCTGCAGGCTAGCTCCGACCCTCACTCCCTTGCTTCTCTCCCACTCGGACTCTTTCCTGAACTCATTTGGGCAGCTTGGGCACCTCTCATGCTCAAATGAGAGTTGCGGCCTACAGCTCCAGCTTATATAGGCTGGAACAGGTGCACCGCCCAACCTCTAGGCCCCTCCAAGTGCCTCTAGGTGGAGCGAGGTACCCCAAAGGCCAAATTTTCGGTTTTGGCCTCTCCAGGGGTACCTGGTCCTCATTTTGGCCAGGTACATGCAGTCTGAGAGGCTGGTACCCTCTCGGACTACCCCTTGGCCCAGCCCGGCCTCTTTTTACTTCAAAAAGTGTTGCCTTTTGGGGTACCCTTTCCCAAAATGCAGCCTTTACTGAAAATTGAGGGCCTCAAGGCCCATTTTTCGCCTTTTTCTTGGTCTAGGCCTCCTTTGGGTAGGCCGTTGCATTTTTCCAAATCGCGGCACAGATCCCAGCCGTAGATTTGGCTGAGATCTATGGTTCTCATCATTCCGAGTTACTCCAAGCTCCGCTTGCTCCAAATTTGAGTCCTTTGCTCCAATTTTCAATTTTTTTTGATGTACCTGGCCCAAACCTTGGGCCAAATTCGCAGTTTTGTTTTGCTCCTCTCTTTGTTTTCCCTCCATTTTGCTGCCAACTCATTCCGGAGCTAGCCGTTTTGTGTCATCCCACAAAAAACGGCTAGATCCCCTCTATCATGGGATCAGATTTCAGATCTAAGGCCCAAAATGAGCCGGCCAACTCACATCAGCATTTTTCCTTATTTTTGTTGTGTAATGACCCGCCAAAAACACAGACTGAGAACATTGCTGATTGCTGGGATTTGTCACTGGAATGAATGCCTTGCTGTGATTACCGCATTCTGCTGTGGTTCCAAGTCTGTGTGTATGCGTGCCTGCTGGTTTGCATGCCTGTTTGAGTGCTTGCCGGTTGTGTGTGTGTGCGTGCCTGCTGGTTTGCATGTCTGTCTGAGTGCTTGCTGGTTGGGTATGTGGTGTGACCCGCAAGGGTACTTGTTGGTTGCGAGGCCCACCGGGCTGGTACTTACCTGTGGCCGTGACTTTGAAGGGTTGCAGGGGGGTAAACACGCCGGTAGCGGGGAGTAGGCCCACGACACTTAGAGCAGCTGGGCAAAAACACTCAAGTAGCAGGTAGGCCGCGCAGAAGAAGACAAAAGTTGGCATTTTTAGAGGCCCAGTAGCGGTAGGTTAGAGGTAGGCCGGTACCAGTCCAAGTAGCCCGGGTCTAGGGCCTGTGCGGAGAATAACAGAGCCTGCAATGATGTTTCCCTCCAAAAGGGAGGAGGTACCGGTTGCTGGGACGCCGCTTGGCCTAGGAAGTCACCGCCCAGGAGGCCGGTAGGCCGCTATATCTTCAGGAAGAGCGGAGAGCTCTTCCTCATTTGCGGTATGCAAGGATTGGCGACATGCTGCTGGAGCGCAGCGCTGGACTGAAGCAGCGCTGCTTGGAGGTGAAGGTCCGCTGGGGCTCAGCCTGGCTATGGTGAGCACCCCAGCTTGAGGAGGAGGAAGAAGGGGGCATGGTAGGAGAGTGGTAGGGCACTTACCTGGCTATGGTGGACACCATCTTCATCACCTTGTTGGGCGCTGCATCTGGAAGGCCCCAGTTGGGGTAGCGCTGCACCAGAGCAGCTCAAGGCAGAGTCAGGCATAGCGGGCCAAGTCAAGCAGCGGCATAGCTGCTTTGGGTTGTCTTCTGGACATCAGGGCAGCACCATAGCTGCCACCCAGTAGTCCGCCATGGCCTATGCATGAGAGAGGAGGTTGAAGGAGGGAAGACATAGCCATGGTGGACTTGTTGTTGTTGTTGTTGTGAGTTGAGTCAGCAGTAAGGGGGAACTTTGGACATTGATTCTGGTTCATCCATTCATTGTTATTATTATTATTGAGAGAAGAATAAGATTGGTGAAGAGAAGGAGGAAGGAGGAAGGAGGAAGGTGGAGAGAGAAGGGGGAATTGTCATTGGTCTTGCTGGTGT